TTTTTTTTGGTGTGGTACCAGGGATTGAACTCAAGACCTTGCGCTTGCCAGGCAGGCACTTATTCTACTGAGCTATCTCCCCGGCCCCAGAAGTCAATTTCTGTACTAAACTTCCTCAAGATGTTAGCTTATTCAGAGAATATAGCACGAGGAGCAAGACCCCCAGAGTGAAGTATTTGAGACTCATAGATGCAGCTGTTCAGGTTTGCTTTACTTAGTGCCTCCTACTAGATTTCAGGCATTCAGTGCTACTAGATCAAGTGAGTTAGGCACAATGTATGAAGCCAGAAGTCTAGTGAATCTAGTTTTCTTAAAGTTTAAAACTAACCACCAACCAACCAATTAATCTTTTTATATCTTTTTTTTTTTTTTTTTTTTTTTTTTTTTTTTGGCAGAATGGGGATTAAACTCAGGCCCTTGCGCTTGCCAGGGAAGCGCTTATTCTACTGAACCATCTCCCCAGCCCCTACCTTTTTATATCTTACCTTGGCAAACATTGAGTTGAGTTGCTTTCCAGAGCCATAGTAGCCCCCCTGGGAGAGAAAGAGCTTCACTTGTTCTTTCACCTGTTCTTCATCCAAATGCCAACAGTTCTCATCATCAATGCTTGCCCCTGCTGTTGGGTCAGGGGCACCTGTGAGGTATGGGAACAGTGAAATGAATCCCCTGAGATCACATGTCACACATGTGTCTGCAGGGGCACTGTGTGAGCATATTCAAATGCACATAAGTTATTCTGCTTTAATATGGGCTTTGTCAACTTGGAACCTAAATATGTATGAATCTAAGGCTTGTTTCATGTTCAGGTATGTCACAACTGTATCTTTTCCTAAGGTATCCTTAGATGGTACTAAGGGAAAAGACCCTGGAAAGAATTATATACATGATAATATGAAATATGTATTTGGTCTTTGTCTTGTTTTCTGGCATACAACTTGCATAAATTCTTATCTTTTTATGTTAATGAGCTGACTAATGGTAGCCCCTAGAAAGCTTTTGAATAGGTGCTGCTCTTCATCAAGGCAGATTCAGAAAGTTGGAACTTTCAGTCTTATGCCCGTAGAAAGGCAGAGAGATTGAAGATTAAGTTGATCACCATCGGCCAATAAATTAATCAATAAGGGCTCTGTAATAAAAAAACAGTCCATAAAAGACCACAGGGCAAGATTTATAGAAACTCCAAAGAACATGGGGAGGTTTCTTTACAGTGAAACTGGAAGTGGGGGAGGAATGGTCTTGGGCACTGAGACCCCGACCTGTCAGATCATATGCTGTCTTAGGTAGCCAGTGTCAGAACTGAGTTGGATTAGAAGATATGCAGTTTATATCTTTTACAGAATTTTTTTTTCCAGTGTGTGGGGAAAAATCTCCACATATTTGGTCACAGAAGTGTTCTAACAGTATGTTAGCAAAAACTGAGTTTGTTTTTTCTCTGTATCCTCAAGACAGCAGGAAAATAGTGATCCACTTTTTCCCTAGTGAAGGACATTGCTTTTCTTGCTTTTGCTTTTCAGACATGTATTATTTTAAAGCTAAAAATACTTTCTTAGGACATAAAATTTTCTATATTTAAAGTTTACTATGAAACTACTGTTTAAAGTACAGGCAGGGTTGTACATAGGATGATACAATTTTATAAATTTGTACTCAAATTAACTTTCATATCTGGGTTCACCTTGACAACACCACTTAAAACACAGCTGCTATTTACTACATCCCTGTTTTCTAGTAACCTACTAGCTTGATGCTCACAGTTCAATCCACAGCTGGATCACTTGTAGTGTGATGCTGGTAATATGACAGGTATTTCAGAAATATTTTTTGGAATGAAAATGGAATCTTTTTCTCTCACCGTCTTACAGATAGAGTGTGGTTACAAGTATTTAGAAACCTGCATCCAAGTGACAATAGACCATAAGTCAATAACTAAGTGTAATCATGTAATAGGTGTACATTCATATCCTATTTCAATTAGTCTACCTTTTTCCTTGCCTGCCCATGTCAGAGCACTGCTTAAGTGAAATCTTGGGACTGGAAAAAAAACCCTGCTATTCCTCTGTTAAGCTTTTTAACGTGTCTTACTCTCCAGGAGATGAGGAAGGATAATACATTCATTCATTCCACAAATTCTAATTAACACATATGATCTTCCAATTTATGGTATCTATTCTATGCTATTTTTCTTCAAATTTTTATCCTAAACACAGTTACTGTATAATTTCCCTGATCTAATGATGCTCTGTTGTTACTAAAGTAAGTCCCAATGCCCTAGCTTGGCACTCTAAAGCCCTCTAAGTTTTGGTCCCATCTTTCACTTTCAGCTTTATTTTCCTTATACTGATGGTAAGCTTCAACCAGAATCAGTGTTCCCAGAAATCAACCACATTTCCTGTGCTTTATGATTTCTCCTTTACTTTCCAAATACTCACTTCAGCCTGACAAAGTAATAATAATGAAAGTAATAATACTATTTATATAAAAAGTCAATCATTTGCATCATAACTCTAGAGTCAGGATCATAATGAGAAATGACAACGGTAACAATTCAGTGAGGCTACCACTGCTGAGGGCCATGTATTGCCAACTCCCTCAGATAGGACCTTTTTTATTCTCTCACTAAATTACTATATACACCATTCCTGAAATATGTTCTTCTTATATTCATTTGTTCAACATACAAAGGCAATACATTCTATCGTGCATTTTATTATTATTTCTGCTATCTTTTATATTACTTTAGAATTGTACACTTGCTATGTATTCCTAAGTAAACTGAAAAAAATTTAAGAAGAGCAATTCATTTTTGTACCTCATACTGCCTGGTTCATTATACTATTGTGCTAACATTTATACTTCATAGTACTGAGTTCTTTTACAGAATAAAAGAAATATGTTTTTATTAACCATCTGGACTTCTTTTGTATTCTGAAAATGACAATGCAAACCCCCTTATCCTTATATATTTGTTTAAAAAAACCAGTCTCTGAATCCATCCTACATGTGAGAGGCTAAGCACTTCACACACATATGTTCACCAGACCGTATGCTCATTGAGGGCAGATAATTTTGTTTGTAGATATATTTATAATATGGAGAAAAGTGCCTACCACATGTTGAGTAAATTTCAAGGAAACGTCTTTAAAACTCTATGGTGGTATTATTACCTTTGGTTTGAAATGAAGAAAGTAAAGTTTAGAAAGGGCAAGTAACTTAACAGATAGAAATTATATAAGCCAGAACCTGTGCACTGCTCTCTCCTGCCTGTGCCTTTCCCTACAAGTCTACACATGCTTTTGCTTCCAGCCCCATGCTACTGTGATCCAGCACCTGGTTTCAGTCCTCTGAATGTCAGTTGATGGTGTGTGTCAAGACTGCCAAATCTCATACTTTCTTGTATTACCCTATTACATAAACTACAGTGTTAGTTAGAATAATGCATTTTTCCCATATGAGGATAAACAAAAGTTCTCACCAGTAGAGTGATTCTCAAATGTTAACATACTGAATAATCATTTGAGATTTGTGTTCAAAATACAGGTCATAAAGGCTTACCAGTAAGTATCCTGTTTTTCAGTAGCTCACTAGAGATAGAATCTAGATGAACTTAGTTAAACAAAGGACTGGGTTTTTCATTACCTTGGAGCTAAGGACACGGGTTAGGAAAGAACAGCAATAGTGTTCCAAAAGCAGAGAACAGAGGTGGTTTGAATATCAACTTTCACCCTTGGATGACTGAATTAGGATATGAAAAAGCAGGAATGGGACTCAGTATCCCAGAAGAGCAGGCCTTAATCAACTTGCTAGAAGTGTGGCATGACATTCACTCTTAAGGCTTTTAAAGACTATGACAGCTGTGCAGTGGTGGTCACAGCAGCAATTTATAAATATCCAGTGTCAGCTAGAGAACCTTTCTGGGATAAGACAAAGCCTTGAGAGTTACTAAGAACAAAAATTCACCTAAAACTTCAAAAGGAATTGCTTACTTGATAGGACAGAAAGAAAGGTAAATGTTGAAATGTTTGCTGGTCTACAGTGGATCTAATAGATTAGAAACTGAGCTGCCAAAATGGGTAGCTGTTGCAAAAAAGAAAGTGAATCAATATTTGGGAGTCCAGAGAGTAAATAAGAAGGAACCCATGTGACTGTTGAGGCAATCAAAATCACCTAGGATGGGTGATGCCAGATAACTCAACAGATTAAAGCGCCTGCTTAGGCAGAGTGCAGTGGCTGGGGTTCAACCCTTGGTGTGCTGTGCTGGTCCCACCCCCTGGGTGCACTGAGATGGGGATTGAGACTGGACATGGTGGTGCGTGCTTGTAATCCCAGCATTTAGGAGGCTGAAAACAGGAGAATCACTACAAGTCTGATCTATATAGTGAGACCCTGTAGACCCTGTACTAAATACATTTTAAAAAATCATCTGAGAAGAACATGAACTGGAAGAAGACTTGCAAAGGACTAAGACATTTCTATTTATTTAATCAATATTTACAGAGAACCTGATATATAACAGAACCTGTACTAAACAGTAGTAATATAGTGGTGAATAAAGCTGATATGGTCCCTGTCATGGAGCTAACAGACTGAGGAGACAGACATTAAGCAAATAATCACTTATACTTGTTGGGTGGGGAAGATGCTGGGGATTGAACCCAGGACTTTGTATACAGTACTAAGTGCTTTACCACTGAGCTATTTCCCCACCTTTCACCCCCATGTATATTATTTTAATTTTTTCTGTGGAAAGAAAGGTCAAAGAAGGCTGAGAAAAAGTGACATTTAATTGGAAACTTGAGGAATAAATGAATCTGTCACAGAGCAGTGGAAATGTACTTTTTTGTTCAAAAAAAATCATGAAGAGCTGGGTATGGTGAGGCACACCTGTAATCTCAGGACTCTAGGAAGCAGTGGCAGGAGGATCATAATTCTAGTCTATTTTGGGCAATTTAGCAAGATCGTGACCTACAATAAAAAGGGGCTTGGATATAGCTCAGTGCACAGGCCCAGGGTTCAATCCCCGGTACCTCAAAGAAAACAAACATGGCATCAGAAATTATATTGTTAGTTAAGTACAACTGTATTAAGGGGAAAAGGAAAGAATGGGAGAGAAGACAGGGAAAAAGGTATTGCCTTAAGGAGGGAAAATGTAGGCAAAAAGGCCAGATTAAGGAACATTTTGTGGGCCATAAATTTGGAACTTTATCCTAATGGTAACAGGAGGCTACTAAAGGACTTTAAACAAGAAGTGATATGACACTTCTGTAGTTATAGAAAAATCACTTTAGGTGGCTGTAAGGGGAACTAAATAGAGGAAAGCAATAGCGGATATGAAAGGATCAGTTAAAAGGCTATGTAGCAAACTAGGTGAGATATTACAGTGGTTTGATTCAGGGTGACAGCAGTATTGAGAGAAGCAGAAAACTATGAAACAGGATAAGAGACCTATCACTGGGATGCATGTGTACTATAAGAAAGAAAAAGGGCCTAAGGGTGGCTACAAGGTTCTTATCATGATCCAGTGACTAGACAGATGGTGGTGCTAGCTGTTGACTAGTGGACACAGGAGGGTAAGCGAGTTTGGGAAAGAAGAACATAAATTCATTTTAGGATATGTTGGTACTGCAATGTCTCCATGGTGTGAAACAGGTGGATATAGTTTAAAACTTGGGAGGTTTTGAACTGGAGTAATAAATCTGTAAGTCGCAGTATATAGATTATATTTGAAATCAGGGAAGTAGCTGATATTGCCTACAGAAATCATATAAAGTAAGAAGTAAAAAGTAAGAAATATCAACATGCAAAGGTCAGATAGTAGAAAAGGGGACAGTATTTAAGAATGAATGAACAAAACCACAGAACGCTTTAACTAGATAAACTAGATCTAGAGTTCACAAATAGGCTTCTTCAGCTGTCCCTCACTAACTTCAGCCAAATCTTTTTAAAAAAATTTCATTGAAAATTAAATTAGGGCTTGAGAGATAGCTTGGCAGTCTAAGGGCCTGCCTGGCAAGTGCAAGGACCTGGGTTTGATCGCTGGTACTGCACGCTATGCCTGCCCCACGGCCCATGCTGAGCCAGCCACTGAAACTGGGCGTGGTGATGCATACCTATAATCCCAGTGCTGGAGAGGCTGAGAGAGGAAGATCACTATGAGTCTGAGTTGCATAGTAAGGCTCTGTATCAAATTTTTAAAAAAATATTTAAAATAAAAGAATTAAATTAAACTGTGGTGGCACATGCCTATAATCTCAGCACTTGAGAAGCTGACATAGGAAGATCATCGTGAGTTTGAGGCCAACCTGGGAGACAAAGTGAGTTCAAGGAGAGCCTGAACTACATAGTGAGAGACCCTGCCTCAGAAAAGGGCTGGTCAAATAGCTCAGTGGATTAAAGCGCCTGCTTAGGCAAATGTAGGGTGCGCTAAGACAGTGATTGAGGCTCGGCGTGGTGCTGTGCACCTGTAATCCTAGATTAATTTGGAAGGCTGAAAACAGGAAAATCACTATGAGTCTGATCTATACAGTGAGACCCTGTAAACCCTGTACTAAATACATAAAAATAAAATAGAATGTCCATATACAAGCTCATTTGTTAGAAGTCTAATTTTTCCATAAAAAGAAGTAATGAAACTACTTACTTTTTAGTAGTGGTAAAGTAAATGTAAATGACACTTTAAGATTAATGTCTAAATTTTTCCTTAAAAGCATAGGAGAAGTGGTGATATATGAAAATAAAATGGAAAGTATGTCTTTTATAAATAACTATAAAACAAAGCATTGTGTGGATTGAGGTTATAATTTATGAGATTTGTCTTGGACCTATTAAATCTAAAGAAACAGCTTTTCTTTCAGGCATAAGAACCTTTTTAAAATTATAAAAACATACAAAATACATACTTGTATTTTTGTAGAAATTACAAATTATTAGAAATTATTTTTATATAAATTACACTAAGACATAAGAAAATCCGTCTGTATTCTACCAATCATAGATTACTATTTTTAATGCCATACTAAGTTTCCTTTCAGTTTTTGTCTTATACATACAGATGTATATACAAGTACATACACACACATTAAATTAACCAACTTTTTTTTAAACTGTATTATAAATTATGAGAATTAACTTTGATTTTTGGTTCTGGGGAATTGAACTTAAGTCCCCCATACTAAGTTACTATACCACCTTTATTTTCACTTTTAAGATAGAATGTCATTCAACTGTTAAATTGCCCAGGCTGGGCTCAAACTTATGATCGTTTTGCCTCAGTTTCTCAGAGTGCTAGGATTACAGGCATACATTGCTACATGTAGCTGAAAACTTCAAAGTCTTAAGTGTATAGCCTATGTTTAGCAAGAATAATGTACAATTACCATTCACTTGGTTGATTTCTGAGTTGGAGCAAAGAATCTCATCTGCCAGTTTCTGTGCAGTAGGAAGAACTTCGGTGTGGTGTGCTGTGATTAAATATTGAATAAACTTCTGTAGCTGGTCCCTGTTCATCTGGAAAAGAGTTTCTGAGATAGGAAGACGTAATTTGACTTGGTCTGGTTTACGGATTCTGTACAGTGATAGTGCTACCACATGTGCACGGTAGAATATGTCCTTATTTCCACAGCCACATGTCACTGAAGTGATTTTGCATCGATCAAAACTGATTGCAACTTTGTAAGTCATTGCTGGTTCAGAAGCAGTGGCTGGCTCGGTTACTGTACCACTCAGATGGAAACCTAAGGAAATGAAGAAGAAACCCTATTAAGAGATTCTGTAGTAAAAAAACTTTAGAAGTTCCATTTGTATTTTAACTAATAAACTCACAAAAATTTGCTGAAATCTCCTATGTAAGTAGTAGCCTCTGCTACAGACACCAAAGTCAGTGAAATTCTGGCATTGCACTGAAGGAATATAGAATCTAGCAAAAGTATTTATCCTGGAGTCCAAGACTCTCCTGAATTAATATGAAACTTTTGCTTGTATATATGCACATTTTTGTGGGGGGATTGGTTCGTCATAGTCTCAAAGTGGCTAATAAGGAAATTCCAAATAGTTAAGAACTCCCATAGTAAATTTTGAGATTGGGATAGAAAGCACAGATAAGCCTATATAAAACATCAGTATAATATAGAGAAAGATAATACTATACACAAAGGAGAAACCAAAAGGATGCCATGAGGAAGGACAGAATCAAGATAAAGGCCAACATTTCTCCCTTAAAACATATAATTCCAGCTGGGCATGGTGGCACATTCTTATAATCCTAGCAATTGAGAGGCTGAAGCAGAAGGAGCCCCATGAGTTCAAGGAGAGCCTGGGCTACATAGTGAGTTACTGCACAGAAAAACCCTGTCTCAAAAAATCACCACCAGGGCTGGGAAGATGGCTCAGTAGAATAAGCTCTTGCCTGGCAAGCTCAAGGTCCTGAGTTCAATCCCTGGTACCGCAAAAACAAACAAACAAACAAACAAACAAACAAACAAAAAAAAAAAACAAAAAACAAAAAACCAAACAAAAAACAAAACACCACCACCACCAAACCAAACCCCTCCCCTAAAACATACAATTCCCAAATTGTGACCATGTTGAATAGTCCAAAGGCAAGTAACTTTCTAAGATATGAAAGGCAGAGCTTGGTGTAGTAAGATTATACAGTATTATAGCTTTACTCACTATACACACAGGACCAATAATTTTAAAATGTAGATAGAATGTAGATGTTTTGCACCCAGCCACCTTATCTTTTTTTTTTTCCATAATTTTATTGAGAAACAAATAGCAATGAGACAGTTTCAAACCAAATTGGTAGGACAGTTTCAATAATTAACATATTGCATACATTCTTCCTAGTGGTTAATTGTTGTACAAGATGCGGACATGATATACTATTTACAAACACCATTCGAACAAATCCCTCTATTCATTAAGAGAATGTAACTATATATCTATCCTAACCATTTTGAATACACAGATACAAAATGGACATTCATCTATATCCCCTTT